CACAAAAAATATCATTTATAAGATATTGAAAAGTAGCCGATGCATTTGTGAGTCCAAAAGGCATGACATTATATTCAAAATGTCCATACCTAGTTCAAAAAGTAGTCTTCCATTCATCTCTTTCTTTGATACGAACTAAGTTGTTTGCTCCTCGTAGATCTATTTTGGTATAGATCTTTGCTTGATTGAATTGGTCATGAAGTCCTGATATCAAATACAAAAGATACCTATTTTTGATGATGATTTTGTTGAGTCTTAGATAATCCACATACATTTGCAGAGATCCGTCTTTCTTCTTGACAACTAAGATAGGAGCCCCAATTAGGAATTTAGAATGGCATATGAAGTTTTTTGCCAAATTTTCATCAATATATTCTTTTGATGCAACTAACTTATTTTGCAATAAGCTATAGATTGATCCGAATAGTGGTTGAGCTCCTTCTTGTAAATCAATTGAACAATCATAAGGTCGATGCTTGGGGAGAATATCTGTATTCTTCTTTTCAAAAATAACTTGGAATTCTTGATATTGCTTAGGAATACCACTCAACGTTGTTTTGCCATTAGAGATGGGTGTAGCATATATAACAAATGATGATCCTTCTTTTGCAATATGCATGAAAGCTTTTGCACCTATTAATAAAAGTTTGGACGTATTGGACTTACGTACTTTTACTTTGCTAACACAATCTTGGATTATACTATTATGAAAGTTAAGGTTACGAGAAATTTAATCTATTTGAGGATTATATTTTTCTAGCCATGATAATCCTAAAATAATTGGATTAGAAGGAGATTTTATTACATTAAATATTATTATGCTATTATGATCTTTAATTGCTACATCTAAAGGAATAGTTTCATGGATAACATTTCCAGAAGACAACAAATGACCATCTATGACTTCTACATGTACGGATTTAACTTTCTTCATTAAAAATATTTTTTGATTTTTGGCAAAATCTTTGTTTATAAAACATGCTGAGGCTCCTGAATCTAACAAGGCAAAGACTTTGTAATTATTAGGTCCTAAATATACTTCTATTATAAAACAAGGTGAGAGGTGTCAGGAGAGAATAGGACCTTTACTAGATATTGCACATGATTCCAGCTGCACAGTTTCTATTGTAGCTAAAGAAACTCGTTTTTTGATACATTATCTTCTTTGATAATTGTAATCCTCATTTTATAATTGTGTTGCTTCTTTGGATAATATTGAGCAGTGTGCTTAGCTTCTCTACAATATAAACACAACTCCTCTTGGCAACGTTGAGACTTTTCTTGCTTCATCAGAGATTTAAAATGTATCATATCAATTTGCATTGATTCCGACTTTGACAAATACATTTCAAAAAACTTGGGAATTGCTACCATTACTTGACTTATTCTTCTCCAACCAAATCTTTATTCTTGATGCCTTTCAAATAAATGATTGTCACATACAATGTCTTGAATAATAAATTATTCCAAAGATTCTACTTTTGACATTGTTAATAACAAATCTTTGACGCTAACCTTCAATCTATATCAAAATTGGTTGATAAGTGCTTTGTCGTTGCACTCTACGTTGCAAACAAGGTTTTGGAATTTCACAGCATATGTAGTGGCTCATTGTGATCTTTGTTGTAAGGATAAAAGCCTAGTCTTTGCTACTCGTTCTTGATTACTTTCTCCAAATGTGGCTTTAAAACTTCTAGGAATGAATTCAAATCATAAAAGAGTCATGAATCTTTTTCCATTAAAGATGCAAACCAAGAGAGAGCACTTCTTGATAGTAGTGCGCCTATGAATCCGACTTGCATAAATCTATCAGGATATTGCAAAGGGTGCAACTTTAGATAGAGCTTGACTTATTGCAAAAATCCTCGAAATTTTTATCTTGTTCCATCAAACTTCTCATACATACTAATCCTTGTCCTTGTCATACTTGTAGAAGCAAAACTTCTTGGATTTGGTTGTGATATTGATCTACTTGCTTCTTTCAACTGCACAACTTCTTGCCGCAAACTTTGAACTTCTTCTATAGGCGTAAGGATAGTACTTCCATGATTCACATTGGAAATACGTGAGATTTCCACTCTTAGAGTATTGACTAGCTCATGAAGATCTGCCATAGTTATAAATCTATTCTCACTTCCATTGAGAGTAGCATCCATAAACTTTTCTTCCATAGACAACTCAAACGAATTCCAAAGTTAAATTAGAGGAGGGTAATCCGCAACTTCTAAAAAAAAAATCCACAAAGAGGGGTAATCCACTCTCTTTAAGGAAAAGATCAATGTTAGAAACCAGATTTTTTGTTTAAAGATGGATAGTCTACAATCTTCAAAACACAACAATAGAAGTGGGTTATCCACTGACTCCTAAAACAAGACAGAAACAATATGTTAGCACTCTTGTCAAACTGTCAAGGACATCAATCCCGAAGAAAGAGAATCCTCAATATACTCTTCTATCACTGAACAGAACTAGAAAGTCATTCAAAAATTGATGTAATATTAATTAAAATGACTATTGCCAAAAACAAGAAAGACTAGAAAGTCTTGAAACAAGACTAAGACTAGAAAGGTATTGACAATAGTGAAGAAGACTTCACTCTTGCTTCCATATATACTAACTAAGAGCTATGTAGCAATGTCCTATATGACCTCCAACATGTGTTGTCTTTACTAGCCACATGTCTTATCTTGTAAGGCAAGTTATCTATGTATGCGCCATGTAGTTGGCTTGTTCCACAAGCTACTACATGGAGATAACTTGTTCCACAAGCTACCAATACATGGTTAGCTTTTTGGCCAAGTCTCTAACCTACAAACACATCTAAAGTCAAAACCGTGTCTATGAAGCTTCTAGGAAGTTTTTTTAGAAGACTTTATGAAATTATTCTATATTTACCTACTTCTACTTAATCATATAAATAACTATTTACGTAAACATATATATCCGTGACACAAGCTTTAGATTATTTAGTGCATACTAGGGGATACATAAGTTCAAAGGGAGTAGATGTTATGTAATAACACGATTATATGGTAAAAAATGAAAACATGGATATTTTTATAAAAGATCTTAGTAAAAAGATATAATAGAAAAAATAAGGATAAATAATAAGAAGATAATAAAAGATTTATTCTTAATTCTATTTTTTAGAAAAGTTGCTTCTATTTTTTTTGTAGAAATATAAATACTTCAATGCAAAATAAATGAAATAAATAATTGATATAGACATGTTTAGAAGGGAGTTACCAATAGGTTCAAGCAAAAATTACCTCAAATTACCAAATATTGATACTCGCATAGGACCAGTTGTCGACATGGATCAAAATCAGACCTTGAAATACAAAACTGCACATCTATGGCAACTTTGGGATTCTTTAGTAGATTGGAGGGTGGGATTTGATAGCACACTTGATAGGATTTCTATGAGCATTAGTTTTGTGCAATTTAAATTTGTAATGACTTTGTAAGAGCTTTACAAAATCAAGGTTGTTTCAAGTGACTTTGATTTTTGTAAAATAAAATAGGTTTGACATTTTAGGCAATTTGGAGAGTTTGTAGCAGATCTATAGGTGTAATTTTGTGGGTTGGTGGATATAGTTTTGCTTAATGTGTGTTGTGAATTTAAGATCAATCAAATAGTTAGATCAAAGTATGTAAAAGTTTTTTTAGGTTGATATCTCAGAATTTGGAGTTTGAAGATTAATGAGTATTTTTAAGATCTTTAGTAATCTGTTGATTGGATTGAAGTAAATTTTTTTTGTATTGAGACTAGACTTGATTTTCAACAATTTAAGTAAATTATGGAAAAAAATCAATAATTCAAATGGGAAATATTGGCACTAGAAGTTCATCATTTAGAATGGAATAGGAGGCCTGCCAACACCTAAATGAATTTTAGGACTTTTCTTCTATTTGCCAAGTGCCTGATGCATTCTCAAGCAAGACTTCATGTAATAAGACATTGTGAAACTATGTGGCAATGTTCTAGAGGACCTCCAATATGTGTTGACTTAGGTAGACACATGTCTTAACTTGCAAGGCAAGTTTTGTATACATAAGTCACACATTTAGCTTGTTCTACAAGCCATCAATATGTGTAACACATTATTAACTTATTATCCAAGTTTCTAATCTACAAATCAATTGCAAACATATGTAAAGTCAAAATTGTGTCTATGAAGCTTCTAGAAAGCTTCTTTGGAAGATATTATGAAATTAATTTATATTTACCTACTTCTACTTAATTATATAGGTAATTATTGGAATAAATACATATATCTATGAGAATAATAATATCTATTCATATTTAATAAAAAATATAAAAAATATATATTTAATTGAAATACTAAACCAAGACTTATAATAGACATACATATTTACATATATAAAAATATTGTATTTAAAAAGTACAAAGAATATATTTTTTAAATCTCCATATATATCAACAATTGTAATAGTGAATTTTAGAAAAATAATTTATGATTGTTATTAAGCAATATTCATGAAATGAAAAATAAAATAAAAACGGAAAATATATTTCTTTTCATACAAATGAAATATGAAACTACTCCAAAAACAACAGCTGTAAAAACTACATAGTTTTATTTTATTTCATTTTGTTTCATTATATTTATTTATTTTCTTATGTTGCATTTTTACAATTACATGTATGTCTTTTTCATTCATTTAGGTATGTGTCTTACTTTTTTATTTTTTTATATTATTTAATTATATATTTTTGTAAAATGTACTCTATTTTGCATCATCTTATTTGGTTATTGTGTAGTATTCGTGAGACACATTTGAGTAATGCTTGGTTTTACTATTTGCATTGTGAATCATTACTGTATTATAAATACATTTATAAGCCATATTCGCACATTACTCCTGAACCAAAGGCACGTAATGCTACAACACATACATAGAAAGAAAAGCCGTTATGGAGGAGGCAGAACATACTCAAAATAGCTCGTTCTTAACCAAGAGTAAGTTTATTTATGGGAAGCTCTCTGGATCGCATGGACCCAAGACAATTCCAGTATCCCATTCGATTGAAGAAGTGCAACACAGACAAGGATATAAAAGGAATCTTAGAAGAATCGAGGCGAAGACGGCGATGCAAGAGTAACGAGGGGCGAGGGTTTGATTCACGTCTATGTGAATGCGGGGGATGCAGCGAGAGAGTTATGCGACCCGATCTGAGCACCATATCATCATCGCCATCTTCTCCACCATTGCAGACATTTTTCATTGCAATCGACAATGCGCACTTTGTCCAACCTGACATTATGCCATGCACTGTGGTTTCGATTCTTGCAAGAATGTCTTATGGATTGCTGTTCTAGGTTTTCGGCGACGATTTTACGGAGTGTTCCGTGTCTGTGATTGAGGCTCTGGAGGAGGTACGCTGCTTGGGAATTCGGAGAAGGAGATGTGAGCTCGGGTCAGGGTGTTTCTTTTCCTTGCCGGCTGCTCTGCTTGAGCCAGTTGGGTTGAGCTCTTAGGGTTTGAGTCGGGGTTGGTCTGGTCGATATGATGACGATGGCTTGTTGCGTATGTTTCGAAATGCGGTTTTTAGATTCCTCTGAGCAGATGAAAGATATCTGGTCTGTTTCATGACATGGAAGGGGAGCATTATGTCGTACGATTTGGGTATGCGTCGGCTTCTGGTTTGAAGTGATAGGGCTTGGAAGCATGGGGAGGAGATTTGTGTTTGACGAGTAGGGGATTGTGCGCAGTGGGCCCAGGAGACAGAGTCTGCTTTGGGAAGCATTGCCTTTCGCCTGGACCAATGTGACCATCGAATGTGAGGCGCTGGGGCGGTCTGGTAGCGCTAGCAGTTGTTTTTCTTGTTCTTGGAGGAAATGGCCGGCCTATTCGTGGCCTCATTCTTGCCGGAGTGCCACATTTCCTCGTCGCAGGAGGAGGTGTTGGTGAATCTCGGCGGAGGTTGGGAACGCAGTGGACATTACAATCTTGATGACACTCCCAGTCAGAATTTGCTGCACTCATCGCCCTCGGAGGCTCAGCAGTATTTGTTGGACTTGAATGCTGGGCCCGCTTTGTCTTACAAAGCTGATAGTGGGTCGGAGTCTTCAGAAGACGAAGCTGACATGGGATATACGCAGGAGCCTGTCGAGTGGATTTCTCCTGCAAGCACCCCCCAGACTAGCCCTCAGACTGTTGCAGGCGTCGAGGATGGTCTCGCGTTAGTGAAGGAGGACAGTTATGTTGCAGCATTTGAAAGCGATCGCTCTCAGTCTCCTAGTCAAGATTGGCAGGGGCAGGATGAACAGCCTAGTCCTATACGCCAGGGTCCTGATATGGGCATGAGCGCTGAATTCCTCACTCAGCCCGCCTCAGGAGTAGTGGATTCGCAATTCCCATTTTCTGAAGACCTAGGTGGTTCTGAAGACCTAGGTAGTCAAATTCTTGATCGGAAGACGATCCCTGAGTCGGGTTTCATTGAAAAGCCTTTGTTGCTTCCCACGATCCCAGAAAGCATAAGCAGCCTGAGTGCGTCTCCCACTGCTGTTCCAATTTCTATGTTGGAATCAAGTATTCAGCCCTTCTCCCAACCAGCTGTAGAAACTCAGCCTCTAGAATCTCTTGGTGAATTCCAGGTAATGCTCGATTCAAGTAATTTCTCCCATACTTTGCATTACGATCGCATGCTTTTCTTTGTTTTTTTGAGTTCTCCTCTTCTTGAACTTCGTTAGTGACGCCCGTGAGTTGCAGCACAAGTACGCTTAAAATGCCATCGAGTCTATTGTACGCTCTCCTAGATAACGAAAAAGCTAATGTAGAGGAACTCAATCTGACGCAGCAAGGAAATAAAGGAAACGAGTTGAGTAAATCTACTCCAGTCACAGACAATGATAGAGGAAGCCTAGGGACGGCAGAGCAACATCTGCAAGGGAGGGGAGAAAACGAGCTTCCTATCGACTCTCTGCTACCATCTGGTGATAGAAGGGACTTGAGGTTCACGGAGCAAGAACGGGAAAGACTCATGATTTCCAATGACGTCTCGCATCTAGAAACTCAGAAAGATGGTTCAGCGGTGCCAGAGAAACCGCAGGTGGCCTCGCCAAGCAGCACAGCTTCCGGGTTTGAGAATGGGAACGGGGAGCAGGCGCAGGGAGGCAGTGGTGAACCAGAATTTGTTCCGAGAACTTTGAAACGAGTTTGCTGTGCTGAAGATATGTATGGACAGCGTAAACTTCAGAGAATAGAAGACTCACCAGTGAGGACCCGAATTTTCCCTAAAACGGTTATGGATGTTGTAAGATCTCGCTCCAGGCCATTGTCCGATTCTCTAGTTGATGACGAATGCAACATTCTGAGTATGATAATGAGAACTGGAGTCAGTTTCCCTCCATTTGTACATGAGAAGAGCTCTGTATAATGTTTTTCTTGCATATGCAAGTTTTTACAAATTTTGTAAAATAGTTATCAAGAGAACACTGACTTCTGGTCAATTCAATTTGTGAGCGTCAGTGTCAGGGGAAGATAGTTCATCATCCATCGAACTATCATGGTCAATGTAATTATTTGTAAGTTTTACTTAAAGCTTACTACTTAACAGTCCGTTGAGATAACAAAATTGCAACTTCTTATAACCTCGTGATTGGGACCAGGGAGCAGGTAATGTTATTGTCACTCAGAAATGCAATAGTTGTTTCCTTGTGTATTACTAACTAATAGGACCATCTGCAAACACTTGCTGAGAGTTACAGAGTGTCATGATTGTTTTTGACCTGGAAAGTTGGGTCCTGGCATCATTCGAGAAACGATGAGTGAGAAAAAATCACTTTCCACATGATTTTGGATTCCTACCCAAACCTGCTAAGGATGAGCGAACTGAATGCTGGAATGCCGATCAGTGACCAGAACGTCTGCAGTGCTGAGGACCAGTGACCCACTATACAGACAGTAAGTTTTGGTGCGGACCTCAATGTTTTCTTATGTACTCGACATTTATTTTGCATGTGAGTTGAGTTATAGAAAGAGGTTTTTGGTGCTGGATTTCTACGTGTGAAGAATGCAGACACTCAGGAGAAAAGTACTGATTACGCGAAAGATGAGGTGAAATACTCTTCACATGGGCAACAGTAGTGGACACTAGTGCAGCTCTTTGTGTGCACTTATGATGTGTGTGATTCCTTCCGCTTAACGAACTGTTGTAATTCATACTTGGATTATGTAATTAAAAGCAACTTGCTGTGGACATTGGGCTTAATTGGGCAGCATAAATATTGTTAATTGGTTTGTTAGGAGCAGATATTATCAGGTGTCTACAGTTCATTCAAAGGAAGTAAAATGGTAGATTTATTTGTTGGATCGATTTCGCTGCGTAGATTTCACTCTTCATGCAGGTGAACGTGTTATGCAGCGTACAAGTACATTGGTAGTATACTATTTGGTTGTTTTGTACGCACATTCTGTTCTTCAACTGCATAGGTTAGTTACTCGTTTTAAAGAAGTTTAAGAGGTACTACGCATGATCAACATGTGGTTCAACCGTACGATAGAAAATTCTTTGCAATGACCGGAAAACGCCTCTGTAAAGCACAATTTTTAGATGATAAATACATTTTAATTTCTTTCAGTCCAGTGTCCTATCTAAAATTGTCGTAAGGAAATACACTTGCGCCATGTAATGATTGCCTAAAAGCATGTAACGACTGACAGGAAGCGAATGTTTCCTGTTCTACAGCCGGACTGATTTAAAAACATTGTTGCGTACCACTGCACCTAATGAAAAAGGTGTAGAATCTTCACCAAAGTCTACCACTGAGTAACACCATTTTCTCATTTGACAGGAGTAACTCACATGAAATTACTGGGAAATGATTTGGGTGTTACCGATGAGCAAGTCGATTGTCACGTGATGGCGTAACAGGCAGGAAGAAATGTTTTGCCTCTGCTGCGTCTTAGACAAATAACTATGCCTTTCAGGTCAAGTACCTGAAGGGACAGGTAACCATATGAATTATTTCATTCCAATCCTGAAGAGATAAAAGCCTTAGTCACTTCATGCTCACGCTTGAGTAAATCATAAACTATGCGCGTTTGTGTAGATGTATCCCTCTGCAGTTTTTGGGATTTCTAACCGAGGGTAGTTCACGATTGGTTTAGTGAAGGAAGTTAAGGCAACAGGCTTCTGTCCTGAAAAGCACAGACGACTTTTGGAATTTAGCGAAGAGTTTTCCAGCTAGTGTTGAAAGTTTTATAAATTAACAATGATTCCGCACCATATTCATTTGATGTTCAATTCCAACTTGAAGAGAATCAGAATTGTCTTCGACCTACTCAGCATAGTGCTTATTTCTTTTTATGTGAAGAGGAAGCTAGAGTAACGCCCACATTGCAGATGATTGTCGGAGAAGCACGAGATTCACATTTGCGCTTTAGGCATCTTCAAGATCCAAGCAAGCTATTTTACCCCACTTATTTTATTCAATAGTTCCGGGTCTGCAGAACTTATTGCATGCTCTCCGCAACATCAACGGATACCATGAGTACCTGGGAATTTAATCATTCAGTTTTGAACAGGTAATAAGAAGTGCTTATTTATAACTCTTTGAACTTGTCCATTGGGCTTAATGCTAATAAAACAAAACAGAAAGAACACTGAAAAAAACTCAAAGACGGACCGACTGAACACATGATACTAGGTGACTGATTCCCTCACACATTACCCGATCCAGCCGATAGGTTTGTCCTCGCAAAATTGCGGAACAAATGCAGAGGTTGAATGATTGTTTGCAACCTGATCAATCGGGGCATCTAGATGGGCCATGGAATTGAAGAGCAGACCTAGTCAAGAGGAGTTTGAGTTGAAAGAAGAATCTGAGCTTGAAACAAACAACACAGTTGCTGCGGAAATTTATGCTTGAAGAATCGCGAAACTAAATGTACAGTCAGAGGAGCAGGTTGGCTCTCGAGATGGGTCCACAGCTTACATAGCCGTGTTGAGCCTGTGATTAGCTGAGATGGAGGTCTGTAGAAATGGGTGGGGAAGTTTGAGGGCCGATTAGGATTTTTTAGGAATTTTTAGGGTTTCAAGCAAAAAAAGACGATGACCACCCATGCTAACATGGTTCGTCTGTGTCTCAGCAAGCGGACATCTACTTCAAAACTAGGGTAACGGGATGCAAAGCGTTGCAGTTTGGAGGCACATGAAATTAGTCAATATGATCATTGGAATGCGGAGGCTTTGGGCTTCCCTGAAAAATATGATAGACCCCATTCAGTCAAATCCTTATTTGGTGAATTTCTTCCCAAGGTCATTTTTTTGTGGTTATGCAAGTTTTTTCATAAAAACCATCATGTATAGAATAACTATTGTTATTAATGTTATCAAAGTATAAATGAGATTTTTGGTTGGATATATAGTTATTACTTGAGAAAAATCCAATTATTTCTATTTTCTAATAAATATTTTAGCAAAATTTATTTCTATTTAAAAATTAACAACAAAAAAATAATATAATAAGTATATAAATATATATTTTTTTTTTCACTACACAATAGTACAACTATGTGTCTTCTAGAAATAAAATACTAATTTTGGACTTAGAGGCCATATGGAACCTAAAACACTCAAAAGACTCAAAAGACCTTAGAACTACAAAATTGTCATTTTAATTTAAATTTGAGATTCTTCTAAAATGCATTTTTAGAAATGTAATGTAGGTGGCAGCCAACCTTAATTTGATTTTAGAAGAAAAGAAATAATTATATAAAGTCAATAGAAGAATGTTTTTTGTTTTTAATCTTAACTTCAACAAATAGAAACTAGAAGTCTAGATTATTAATTTATTTATATTTATATTTAGCAATAATTTATTATAAATAATATCAATTTTTTTTTGTAAACTAATCAAAGATTCTATGAGTTTAGCAATACTCAAATTTAAATAAAAACATATAATTTGTAAAATAAATAATGCTAAAGGCCAACATCTAAAAACCAAACAACTTCATATAAAATAAGAAAGTCAAATAAGATTATTCAATATGAATTTTTTTTATTAAAACACAAATTGGGAATTCTAGCTAAATTGATTAAGTAAGATAGATTCACTAAAGTATTAAAAAAATGTTAAAGAATAGACTTAAAGAAAATAAAAATTAAGCAATAGAGATTAAATTTAAATGTGAATTGAATTCCACGTACACTTGGTCTTTGAAAATTAATTTTATCCTATGGTATAAATATTGGTGGTTATCTTGCAAAGTTATCAAACTAAGTGCTTTGCCTTATAAAGATCAATATACAAAGTGACTACTTTATAAAAAATATAATTGAGAGATTACTATCACAATTAATTCTATTACAAGTAAATGACATTGAAATAGTAATAAATAAGCATTGCAATTAAATACAATAGCTTAACAAAGGTGTCAAAAGACTAGAATGATACTAAAATAATAAAATATTTATATTTTTTAAGTTTAATCTAAGGTGCCACATGCTTTTACTTTTTATAAGTCTTCATGTGAGTTCCACAAAAATACATTTTGATTAGTGGAACTGTTAAAAATATGATTTTAGGTTATTTAGATACAAACATATTAAAGATTAGAGAGAATTTTTTACTATTTAAGTATTTTTTAGAATTTAGAGGGGTTTATAAGTTAAAAGACTCTTATTAGAGAAAAAATCATTAAATTGAAATCTTATTAAGTTTTAGAGGCAATTGTCTTCATTGGTTTAGTATTTTTGCTTATTGTTGAGTATTAATGGCTAGTTATTGAAACTAATGTTTATATTAGCTTGCTATCTATCTATCTATCTATATATATATATATATATATATATATTACTTATAAAAACCTATAAATTCTAATTAATAATTAAAAGAAGCATGAAAAAGAACCTCATGTCTTTTTAACTATTTACATAGAAAAATGTTTTATAGTTGATTTAAAGTAATTTTATCACTACAAAATTAGTATTAGTATTGTAAAAATATTAGCCTTAAATTAATAAAATTAGTCCAAATTTTATATTATTATTATAAAAATATTTTAAGTTTTTTTAAAATTTATTTAGAATTTATTAAGAATTCATTTGGAAGTATTTAGGAAATTTTAAAGAAATTTTTTAGACTTTAATAAAAATAAATTTTACCACCTTGAAAACCTCTTATGAAGAATTTGAACAAGATTTGAAGCCCTTGTGAGGTTTTTAGTCTAATTGAGTATTATTAAATACCATCATGATGTCAAAAATATAAAAATGTTAGTTTTACTAGTAGAAAATATAAAGACCAACAATTAATATAATTTACACTACAAATTTTAAGCAACTACTAATTAAGATTACCTTGTAATTTAGATTGAGAGATAAATTTTACCTTCACAATTCACAAATTAAATATTAGCATTAGCAAACCAACTTGGGAAAAAATCTCAATCTAAACTTTTATAAAGGTAAGTAAAGTTCTTCTCTCTTTTTCTTTTTATAAGAAAGATCATATAAAAAACACTTATATTTTTCCTTCATTCTTATTGGAGTTCTACTCTCCTTAATTTGCTTCTAACTTGACTTTTTAAAAGTATAAACTTGTAAAATAAATTTTATTAAGTATGTAGCAAATCTATAACAATCAAAAGATTTTATTGCTATCTAAAAAGTTTTTTCATTTTTTCTTGAAGAAGATATTATATAACTAATTTATTTTTATATAAACTTATTTATTTCTATTTATTTAAGCGATATCAATATATATTGCATTAATTTAGTTCTTATATGTTTACCTATAAAATAATTTATAAAGTAAACTTAAAAATAAATTCTACATTTATAAGATTTGATTTCATAAAATATTTTAAAATACATTCAATACCAAATATTCAATTTGCCACATTAAAAAAAATTCACATATCTAATATAAGATAATATTAATGGCATAAACATTTGTAGTTCACATCTTTTTTTTTATTCAAAACATATAGTGTCTGATACATATTTAACATTAAATGAATATATCCAAAATTATAAGAGTATGAGTTTGTTATTCTACTTATGTTTTTAAATTTACTCTATACTATATAATATAAATTTTTTGTATTTAAAAATAGAAAACTTATTTATAATACTTAAGAATTTTAACTAATTATATACTTCTTTTATTCTCTTTTTTTCTCTCTTCTTTAAATTGGAGTCTAAAGATTAGCTTAAATCAAACTTAATTACTTCTTTGACCAACCTCTTCT